CTCGAGAGCATATTTAACCTGTGAAACTTTTAATCAGAGAAAGAAACTTCGAGAGGGACTCACATCATCGCGGTGTTGTGTAAGCTCAATCTGTCCATTCTTAGCAAAGTGCACATGGATGCCCATGCGGGTCAGAAGGCGCAAGTGATCTGGGTCATTAGCTCGAAACTCAGTAGCACTCAGTCCAGGCTGGATACCCAGCTTAAGAAGCTGGCTAGTCAGTTCGGCCGATTCAATGTCAGTAGTAAGTTTTCCAGCATAACTGATACCGGCTTGTTGGAGCAAGGTGATAGCATCAAGTTCGTCGGGACCAACATTACTGCAGCCATCTTTAGAAGCTGCCGAATCTCGGCTGACTTGAGGCCACCCTATAGGAGTGAAGCTTAATCCAGAAGGGAAGATTTGGCGTAGAGTCTCGCCATGCTTTAGCCGAACTGCCAATTCACGCAGCGGCTGCCGAATACCTTCTATAAGACGCCAGATACCTGAGTGGTTTGGACTACTAGGGATTCCCTTATCTCGAAAATAAAAATTAAAAGAATAAAAAAATATTCACGTGCCCTCTTGTAATATCGACTAAAACTAAATAGTTTTATTTAAAGATGTCTGGGATCACTTTTAAAATGAAGGTGTGCGAATGGAAGCTTGATAAGAATCATTGAAATTTCCCGTGCATTCTAAACAAAATATATTACTTTAAATATTGTTACCCTAAGAGGGTTTGTTGGTAGCTAAATGCAATACTTATTTAAGAAAAAATGATCATTTGCTGATAGACTCGCTTAAGAATAGTTGTGATAGAATAGTAAACTATCTAAGAAATCCTTTAGGAAAGATATACACAGTAGGTAAACTTAGTGTTGGATATGGAGTCTTCTTTAATTATTCCCAACTGAACCCTTGGAGCCCTTAAAAGGCACTAAACATTCTTACACAGTTTTACGAACAATTCACTACTAAGGCTAACCTGAAAATAATTAAATTTATCTCTTATATTAAAAATTCAATTTAAAGAATAATAATTCTAAAATTTTTATCCGAGATAGTACAACTTAAAGC